TTTAACATTCCTCCTGTAAAAATACAACATGATGTGCTTTGTAAAAACGGACAATGGCTTTCTATTTGGGGGTTAGCACACACTATATGCAATATACTTACAGGAAAATGTTATCCTGCATGAGAGTTCAAAGGTAAAGGCTTGCTGCATGCACTCATGATGTCCTGCAGGTTCAAGCCATGAATATATCATTCTTCTGTCATTACAAGTTTGATTGAATATGTGTCTGTCCATGTTGGTGTTCACTTATAAAGAGTTGTACAGACTTGTCATTATAAGCATAATTTATCAAATTATTATCAAGCGGCATTTTTAAGAAGGATAACTTCAGCAAAACAAATTAAGCTGCAACTTCACATTAGCAGAGTGACAAGAAACTCGTTCATATTGCAGACTATGTGACTCAAATAATGGTGAATTAATACTGCTTTTGGATGAAAGAAAAGTAAACTACAAAAGAGTGCTACCTCAGCAAGACAAAATATAATGTATAGAATAAATATGGAAACACATAAATTTTAAGGTCTTTCTTTATAAACAAAATTTCCACCCAGATTTTAACAGGAGCATATGAATTGCTATTTACTGGCTACTACAGAAACAGGACCGTAGGTTCAAAAGTAACACATGATGATCATTACATCTTTTGGCATTAGGGCCTACCACTTCACTGAACTCTGCATAACTCATGCTTTCAGTTACAACCTTTAAGTTTTAAATGATCATATAACTATACTGATGTTGTTTATGCAAAAACGGCACTTCCCAGTTCTTCTCACTCATTGTACAGCACTATCACTGTAGTTCATTTTAAAGCCTTGCCAGGTATTTGTATAATCAAGATAACGTAAGTCATAATCTCTTACTTCCTTATATTTATTGGTATGCTTCTTAATGGGACACTATTTCAAGTATTCTTAAGGTTCCTAATCTACAACAAAGAAAAAAGGTTATGTATGTTATGTAACAAAAATACTGAAAGCCATGGGTAATATAACATACATGCCAGCTTGAACACTGACAAGTCATACTCAGTTCCTGTGAAAGGAGGAACATTTTACATCATATATGTGTAATATGGCCATCTTCCTCTTGAAATTTCAAGACTTTACATGTATTTTTTAGCCCTTTCAGAACATGTCTCCTTTTGAAACTTCAGGACTCTATAGGCATTTTTAGGGCCATGAAGAACACATGAAGCTCAATAAAAAAAATTTCTGTAATACACATTTAACTCCATGGTTTATTCCACACCACTGCAAAGTCAACAAGCACTATGCTTCCAACAGTGAAATGGAGCAGTTATCATAACAGCCAGTGCACATGTTGTATGTTATTTCAACTGGTTAGGGTCAATGAAATTCACATGGGACATGTTGCCCAGTATGAAAACCTGTACAAAGACAACGTTATCAGAAATAACTTAACCGTCTTTCTGGCATTCCATTCACACTCAGCTCACCTATACTGTGCTGCTCTATGGAATGAGACAGGCAGTGCAGACTACAGCATTACTGGCTTTCTCTATCAGCGCAAAGGGGATTTTGGCCCAATTCAATTTGAGAGGCTAGGCCATAAATTCTGTTAAGTATGTCATTGAATTACAGTATCTTAATGTTGTGTTCACTCAGTTCTATTTTTTTCTCATCATCTGAACAGGACTCTTCTTAGCATGGTCAATGTAACAGTTTAGTAGCATCATCATCATCTTCTTGCAACATCATACAGCTTAGAGAACTGTGGTGACATAAAACATTCATTTTCAAATACAAATATCTAACTGTAAGACTAAAGTATTTTCCACCAAGGACTGAGTAAATCTGTACAAGTACCAAGACTCTGAAGGATTCTTTGTGCTCCCACATTCATGGCTGCTTAGTAATTCTGACTTAGAGGCCACCATGCTTAATTTGATTAGACATGCAAGTGGCAAGAGTGGCTGATTTTTTCAAAGTACAGAGAAATACACTTGCTGCCCTGTTAAGTACAAACCTGGGTAACTTTCAGAGACATATTTCTGTGCATAATAGAGAATCTTAGGTTATGCTTCAAAAGAAGTTCTGCTACAGAAACAGGCAGAGAATAAATACCTTAAGAGAGCATAAACCAAGGATGCTTAAGCTCAACTGCTCAATTAAGGTAAAAGGTAGATTTTCCTTGTGCTTAATGAAGCACCACACCATGAAAACACACGGAGGTGTGGAGGTATAGCTCCAAATTTAGGAAACTGTGTCTTACATGAGGTAAATGATCTGCTTCCTGTGATGTGTGACAGAGCTACTCACGGGGTAGTCATCCGCACGGATACCTTTTCAAATTTGAGATTAACCAACAAACCCAACAGTGAAAGGAACCTGAACAAAGATAAAACAGCCTTAGCTTATTTAAGATTCTGTCACCTGGAATATTATTTTATGGAACCAGATGACTACTTAGATCCCCCATAAGCACTACCCTACACTGAATTTGAAGCATATGGCTGCTAGAGATCTAACTAGAAGGGGACATGCAATGTAAAAAGTGATGTGGCCTATCCCTTATTCTTTCACTTAACATCAGTGCTGCAAATACATAAATTAACACGCTCATATTAGAACGGAATCATGTAACATTCCCAGGTTTATGCACATTTTCATGTGTGTTTCCTTGCCATTTACCTGTTTTTGACCTCCTTTAACATTTCATGCAATACAGACTTTTCTATCACCGCCATGTTCACAAAGATTACAGAAATATAAAAAATGTACTCATGTCATACAAAACATACAGTATTCCCTATAATGGCCAATGGATTGGTTTCCTAATAAGTTATAATTTTGACAAATCATGTGTAAACCAAGAGAATAAAAATTAATTTTTGACTATCCACACACTAACTAGCATGAAATTTCAAATCACTGGCAATAGAGGATAGCTTAGCAACGAGGTGAAGAATTATGCAGACTTCTAAAGAANCTCATTCAGCCTGATTATGCAAAAATATTATTTTGCAAAGAAAAAGAATGAGTTTTTTTAAAACGTGTACTGGAATAACCATATCTGCTAAACTATTCACCAAAGATTTTGGAAAATTAACTGTGTCTACATAATTCATATTTCCCTCATTGAAGCATTGATGTGTGCTGTGCCACGTGTTGTTTCCCCATAACTGCTGGGTTACTGGCCTACTTTTCAGTAGCCTAACAGGCACTATTTCCTCTCACATACAATCTTGTAATCACTAAGACAGAAAATTACTTTGGGATTTCTGACAGAGAGGATCTATATTGGTGCTATAATTACTAAATACAAAAACAAAAATAAAAATTGAGCATAATTCACTATTTCCACACTTTCTGCAATATGGCAAAACTATCTTAACTTTTTTTCAAATTTAACTCTTTCAGCAAGTTTTCTATGATGTTATATAACTATAGCCATTCAGTTCAGCCAAACATCATGCCCATATAGATATGACCACTCTGATATGTTAAAAAGCATTCATAAGGTAGCATAATAAATCTTAGCAGTCAACAATTCATATGATGACTCTCTGCATGACATTTTCAGTGTTACTCTGGCACCATGAGCTCAAAACAGGATGAACCACTGTTGGATTTGAGGTTCTCACAGCAGTGACTATGAAAAGTACTATCTTCTGGGTTGTGATGCTGTAGTGTATGGCACAGGTATACCAACATTTCAGAGAAGCACACTGTATTCCTCTGAAATATTAGTAAACTTCTGCCAGCCTACATAGTGTCACATCCCAGATGAAGGCACTATTCATAAAGGATCATGTACACAATTCTTCAACTTCTGAGCACTTTTAGTATATTCATACGCTGTCACCATAAAGTCTTTAAATTTACAGTATTTTCTTTTTCGTCCCTCTAGTTCCCTTTGGCTGTACCAAAAAATGCTAGTTTTAACTTACATATGTAGAAGCATCCATTTTTCACTCAGGATATGTATGCTTTCCCTGTCAATATCAATATATGCAAGTATGGGTAGGTAGAACTTTAAAGAACAAATGAAACTCACATGATTAAAAAAAAGAGACTGGGAATGAGAATTCAAATCGCATCCAAAATCTGTACATTCCGACAAAATACAGAGTAAATTTTGTACCTCTTGATAGTCCCTACTGGGTCTGTTGTATGAAACAGAAAATGGAGAAGTTACATCTACATAGTAGCATCCAGAGTACATATACCAATATATAATGGCTAAAAATTTAAAGAAAGAATAACAGTCAAATTAAGAAAAGTACCTCCATGTAATTAAAAAGTATCTCCAGAATGAGGACTCAGGCTTCCCCCCCAGAAGCTCTACTGTAATGCTTGAACACTGTTATGAAAGCCTTGACTCCCACATGTGCTGGCAAGAAAGCAGAAGAAACATATTACCTATAAATATGGGTAATTTACTAGGTCTGCAGTAGGAAATAGAAACATAATATATATA